GAGACAGCAGGCCTGGAGAGGGCGGGGGCGGGGGGCGAGGGCAGAGGGCGGAGGCCGAGGGGAGGCATGGAGATGGGATGGCAGAACGAAAGTCAAACCCCGCGCCCCCCCCCCGCCCACGCAGGCCGGTACCTGGTCCGCCTCCTCCTTGCTCATGGCCAAGGCCAGCTGCAGCTGCAGCTCCTCCTCCCCGCTGCTCTGCGGCCAGGCCTGCTCGGCCTCGGGAGGGCCCCCCGCGCCCACGGCTGCCGAGGAGGCTGGGGAAGGGGGCCAGTGAGACAGGGACGGGGCGCCCGAGCCAGCCGCCCCCAGGCCCATCTGGCCCCCCAGGAGGGGGGGGGCAGCAGGACGGACAGCCCTGCAGAGGGGGACTCGAGGCCAGGCCTCGCCGGCCAGGGGGGCTGACAGCAGGCTAAGGACCGCGGGCATGCATTCGGGAGCCGTGAGGAAGGAAGGAAGGATGGAGAGGCGGCAGAGGCTCAGGGGAAGGCACCGTGGGCTGGGGCAGGCGGACAGCGAGCCCACCAGGCCACCCTGCCCCTGCCCAGCCCAGGCAGCAGCGCCCCCTCGGAGCTCCGGGTGGGCATCGGCCCCGCCTGGCCGCTCCTGCCCCCTCGGTGCCCAGGGCTCGGTCAGCAATCTGGGCCGCTGCCCAGCCCTCGGCGGCCCGTAAGCCAGGGAAGGGTTTCGTTGTTCCAGTGACCGGGGGAAAAAGTCAAACGAAGAATAATATCTCAGGTCCCTGAGAAAAGCTCCCACAACCGAAGCTTCAAGTTCAAGGTCCCTGCGCCTGCGAGGTTCCTCAAGGCAAAGTGGCTGAGAGCCCTCCGCCCCTGCCTGGGCACCCGTGTCCCTGACCCCGTGTGGGCGCTGCCCCTGTGGCTGGGCACACGTGTCCCTGACCTCCCAGAGGGTGCTGGTCCCCGTGGCCTGGGCACACGTGTCCCTGACCCCGTGTGGGTGCTGGTCCCCAAGGCCTGGGCACACGTGTCCCTGACCCCGTGTGGGTGCTGGCCCCATGGCCTGGGTACACGTGTCCCTGACCCTGTGTGGGTGCTGGTCCCCTGGGCACCTGTGTCCCTGACCTCCCAGTGGGTGCTGGTCCTGTGGCCTGGGCACCCGTGTCCCTGACCCCGTGTGGGTGCTGGTCCCCTGGGCACCCGTGTCCCTGGGCGGCGGCGGCTCACCCGTGGCGGTCTGCGCCAGCTTCTCCTTGGTCTTGAGCGCGTGGGCCCGCTCCTCCCGCAGCCGGGCCTCGTCCTTGAGCAGGGCCACCAGCTGCTTGGCCTTCTCCCGCACGTTCACGCCCTGGTCCTTGCCGTCGCGGTCCACGTACTGGAAGTCCTTGAGCGTCTGCACGGCGTACATGTTCTCCTTGCACTGCTGCGACACGCGCTCCGAGCCCGTCTTGATGAGGTACTCCATCAGCGTCATGGCCTGGGGGCACCGCCGCCACTCAGGTCCCCGCCGGCCCGCGGAGGGCGCGGCGCCAGGCCCAGCGGAGGGGGCGCGGACCGTGCCCGCGGACCTCCCCGCTGGGGCCGACCCCGCACGGCGGGCTGGGCGGGGCTGACGGGGGCTCGGGTGTCTGCCCGGGGTGACGACCGAGGAGCAGCCTGCGAACGGGCTTCATGCCGCGGACTCCAGGCTGCGAAGGGGTCGGTGGTGTGCCCGGAGCCACGTGCCCGTCCCCCAAGGGTGGCGCGGCCGCCACCCGGCCCGGCCCAGCTCGGCCCCGCCGTGAGGCAGATCAGAAGGCACGGAGGCAGGTGGCTGCCGTCCATGCCGGGCCGCGTTCCCACAGGCCCAAGCCACCCTGGGCCCTGCCACCCCCTCCCGCCTGCCCCCTCCGCACTGCCTTTTCTCCGGCCCCAGCACCGCCTGCGCCCCGGGGCCCCTGGCTCGACCCCGCCCCTGGGCCCCGCCTTCCCCCCAGGCCTCCATCTCTGTCCGGTGGCTGGGGTGGAGCAGCCACAACTGCAAGTGTGAAACTTCCACACCCACAGGCTGGCCAGCCACAAGGGGGTGGCGGGGAAGGAGAGGGACAGGGAGGAGGAACAGCTGGGTGCCTCTGCACTTCCTGATGGGACAGCTAACTGTCTTCTCCAGTCCCATTAGCTGCGGGCGGGAGGGGCAGGCCTGCCCAGGGCCCCAAACCCGCGCAGGGAAGCGGTGGGGGAGGGCCTGGCGCGGCGGCAAGCCCTGGAACCTGTGGCCTCTGCGGGAGCCGGCAGGGCGTCCCGGGCCAAGGCGTGCCGCGGTGTTTGCCTCAGCTATCGGTTAGTCTTTAACCGGCCCTCCAGCTGTTAGCGAGGGAGGAGAGGAAGGACACGGCACCCCGGGGGCGGGGGGCCAGCCCCCCACACGTGACCCAGCCCCCTGGTGGAGGCACCCGCGCCCGCGCCAGGGGACCCACAGGTGCGGAAATGGCCTCGCCTCGGCCTGGGCGCACCCTGTGCGAGCAGAGTGGCAATCTCATTCCAGGGCTGGGGACTTTGGATCGCGGTGAGGACGGTGAACCCGGAAGCGACCCAGCCCCCCCTTACCCCCCCCCCCCCCCGCCCCGGGTGGCAGGCTCCTGGGCACGGGCACGCCGCCATGTGTCACTGAAATTTCAATGTGGCTCAGCGGATAGAGCGTCAGCCTGCGGACTGAAGGGTCCCGGGTTCGATTCTGGTCCAGGGCATGCACCTTGGTTGCGGGCGCATCCCCAGTGGGGGGTGTGCAGGAGGCAGCTGATCGGTGTTTCTCTCTCATTGATGTTTCTAACTCTCTATCCCTCTCCCTTCCTCTCTGTAAAAAATCAATAAAAGTAAAAAAAAGTAAAAAAAAAAAGATTCCAATTAAAAAAAGAAAGAAGTTCCAATGGTTGTACCGTTGCTGTTTGGCTCATGGACTAATGAGTTTGGCAACTGCTGCCCTAGCTGGTGTGGCCCAGTGGACGGGGCAGGGCCTTGCCGGGCGGTGGCCCCAGGTGCCTGGCCACAGTGGGCAGTGGGGACGGGCCGTGCGAGCGGCAATGACAGCCCCGCCGTCCCCATCCTCTGAAAGCAGCCGCCGAGCCCCGGGCTCCAAGGGGAAGCACGCCAGCTTCCTGCCCTACAGGACCCCCTGCACGCCCAGAGGAGTGCCGATAAAGTTTTATTTACAAACAGGCAGGGGCCGGTTGGGCCCCTGGGCCGTGGTTCGCTGCCCAGACCCCGCTTTCCTGGGACGGGCAGATGACAGCCAAGTCCAGAGGGTCTCTGGGGCGCCCCGCCCAGGTCGGCACCCCTGGGGCCGAGCCTCTGTGCCTCAGTTTCCTC